CACCAAGCACTGCTACATCGTTGAACCATGGTTTGTCGCCGAAAGACGCGCACGCTCGCACATAATGTGTCTGACTGGAGTACTTGGTGAAATCCTCGTCGCCTGGAATAGCCATGCCGTTCTTCACACGTATGGTACCATTTAGTACCTTGCCTTCCTCGGCCTTGCCTTCCAACAGCCCCGCGAGCTTGGTCATGTCACCTGGCGCGGCCAGCGCATGTGCTTTCCACTTGTCACACCCATCCTCAATGCTTTCCTTCCAGCTAACACTAAAGCTGGTGGCTGCAAGCGTGTTGCTACCGCTCTCCATAGCCTGCAAAATGCATGTCCATTCAGGCAAGGGTGCAAAAAAAAGGCTCGTTGTTTAGGCGATGTTGAATACAGGCACCCAAATACGTTTCAACAAGACTTGAAGCTCCATGCTCACAAGACATAATCCCAGTTACACACACATGCTCACGCATGCACAAACCCTCACACACAGACACACACACACACATACTCACACACACACACGCATGCGCACACACACACACACACGCACACACACACACGCATACACACACCCTCGCACACACTCACACACACGCACGCGCACGCGCACACAGACATTTACACACACACACACGCACACGCACGCACACACACACACACACACACACGCACCCACGCTCGCACACGCAAGCGCACAAACACACACAGGCACACACGCATACATACGCACACAGACACACACACACACTCGCACACACTCACACACACGCACGCGCACACATACACTCACACACATACGCATACATACGCACACACACACACACACACACACACTCGCACACACTCACACACACGCATGCGCACACATACACTCACACACACACGCATACATACGCACACCTAAACACCCTCACACTCACTCACACACATGCACGTGTATGCGCACACACAATACGCACACACACACACATACACACTCACACACATACACACTCACACACACACACACGCATACACGCGCGCACACACACACACACTCGCACACACTAACACACGCGCACGCGCACACACACACTCACACACACACGCATACATACGCACACACACACCCTCACACACACACTCACACACACACACACACGCGCACGTACATACAAAAACACTTACACTCACACACGGACGCACGCACACACACACACTCACACACACGCATAGACGCCCACACACACACGCACATACATACAAATACGTGCACACACACACTCTCTCTCTAACGCTCTCTCACACATACACACACACGCGCACGTACCTCCTGTAGTGCAACCATTCGCTTTGGTCCATCCTCGCTTGGTGCCTCCGATGCTTGGAGCACGCGTAGCATGTGCATTCGCACATCGTGCTTCACAATTTGAGGGATAGGATCCCTCTTGTTGCCTGCACGGTACGTTCGCTTCACGAGAGGTTGATGGAGATACTCGTACATGTTGGCGCTGTAATGCATCGGCACCCCCGATCGAATGATGTCCTCCACCACGTGTGCCAATGAATGCACTTTGGTGATGTCGAACTCAGATTTCTGAAGGCCCGCAAAGACTTCCTTCAAGAGTGGAATCAACCTGTTGGTGGGTATGGCTCACATGAAGAACATTGAAGAGACAAAACTCAATGGGCGCGAAAAAATTAGTAACACAAGACGTCGCAACACATTGGCAAGCATGGAATGCAAGGTATGAGATACATCGAACAAGAAAGAGAAAAACCCTAAACCATGCACAGTTGAGAAAGATGCTTACCTCTTGATGGCCTCATCAAGCTCTTGTAGCGTCTTCGAGGTATGATACCAACGCCGGGCTGCGAGCATGTAGCAATCCACGAATGCTGCCACCGCACCAACCACCGAGTTTGGCACGCCGCAATTTGCAAGCACGATCGTGATCATTTGCATCACTGCGCGATGCTCAAACGCCTGAAACCGTGCAGCACCCGCAAAGTAACCACCCTTCTCGGAAGATGGGATACGGAAACCCGAGATTCGGGTGTCGGTCGCAATGCGCTGCAACTCGGTGTCGAGGGAACGCAGAAAGTCGCGATCTCGTGCGTAATACGCTCGAATGCAGGAAACGATGTGCAAGAAGACACCAAGGTCCATCGCGTGCATCACCTCGACAAGTAAGGCTCGGTATGGATTGCCGACAGGGGTACGTCCTCCTCTGAAGCCCCACAAGGCTACCTGCGCGGGGGCGAGTAAGTGAAAAACTGTTAGCACACACTTAATTTAACCCACACCACCAAGACAGAGAAACGCATGCACGCAGATTCTTAGAATAACGACACACGAACTAAAGAGGCACGAACAGACGCGCGTACACACACAAATACGCACGCAAAACGTATGGACGCACTCGCAAACCATACGTACCTTGATGGGATGGGTGCTGATTGATTTTGATGCCTTGTTCCGCTCGGGCCCACTCGGCAACGCCAACAACGCCTCAACTTTATCGCCCTGATCGACTTCCGTGCGATATTCGACCACCGCCTCCATGTTGCTTATGTCTTCACGTTTCACAAGACACCTGTGGCACGGGAACATCGCCTTGTGACTTGCAAACGTCCCCGCCAGCTTGCACGCTTCCGGGTGATCAGCCACATATGCATAGACAGCGGGAAATACCACTTGCGTCTGCCCAAAAGGGTCTTCTATTACAATGCCACTATGTAGGTAGAAAAGGGTGATGAACATAGGAAAGATACAATTATAAGGGGAGGGGAAGTGGATTTGCACATGAGGTGAGCAAGAAAAAACTCATCGTAGCGATAAAGCATACTTGCAACACACACACCCACACCCAGTAGAATGAAAAGCACTCACCCGCACATTCAATAGACACTCACTCGTAAGATGCCTCTTTGAGCTCTTTAAGAACCACATCCAAAGCCAGTTGGAATACCTCCCGATGAAGCGCCTTCCCCTCCTCCGTCCTCGAGTCCACGTTCGGAAGTGGCGGAAGCATAGCAACCATCCGATGCCCTTGTGGTTGCCAACGATTCTTGAGCGTGACGTTTCCAAGTGTGAAATATACCGGATGTCCCGTAACACGCCCATCGTTGCTCAAGTTTGTCCCGTCGCTGTACACGATGCACGCTGCAATTACACCACCCCTCGGGCATTCTTCTTGCATCTTAATCCATCCATCTCCCGTCTCGGGCCCCGCGTATATCCGCTGCTTCTTGTCGGACGTGTAGACTGCTGCCGGTTTCACCACAAAGCCGTCTCTGTTCGCGTTGTCCGAATACATCGCCACCAATGCTTCGACTATGGAGGTTACGTGCACCGTAACTTTCATGCCGCTGCTCAACTCCACCTTGACAGCTCTCCATTCCACCGTGCCCGTAGTCTCCGCCAGTAAAGACTTTTCGTACTTCGCCAAGCCAGCACTGTTCTTGTATGATGGCTTCATGTAACCGGTCTCGTGCAAAACACTCAGTAGAGTATTAATGTCAGTTGCCGACATCCCCATGCCTCCATTAAAACCCCGAATCGCCTTCGCCAAAGCCAGGTCTGTGTCAAATGGGAGCTTCTGTGGACTAAGATCTGCCGTTGCATCCGTTGTTGAGAATTCTATGTCATCACCGCCGCCGTCGCTGTCATCCGACGTCGGAAAGTCAAACGGGGGAGGGTTCACACTGGTTTGTGCAGATGGTGCTCCGCTAGTGGTCAAAGGCGGACTTGCTGCGGCACGCGGAGCAACTCGTGCACGCAGCAGCCGGTTCACGTCATTAGCTCGTTTGCGCTTCAAACCCTCTAGAATCCGTACATTTGCACTCTCTGACGCAGTTGGGCGCTTTCTACAAAACATTTTGTGATTAATCAAGCCCTGTCCAGTAGTGCAGGTGAATCCACAGGCACATGTAAACTCCATTATCAAATATAGGGATACAAGGATCTGTGCAAGCTTGGAGAAGAACTAAAATAGTGAAGAATAACAAGCAAGGTCTAACATATATGCAATGTCTTCAACAACATCCCCTGGACCTGCATGCAAAGACCACAGAGCACAAACGGTCATGGCCCTTAGTGGCAAGAGGGGGCAAATCTGTGGCTCTAAAACGAACATGGCAAAAAAAAAGCCAAAAAACACTAAAAACGGTACTGACCCCACTAATCCCTCAAGCCGCGGCACTTTCGCGCAATATACCACGCGTCGGCACGCGGCGCATCCGATGGTACGACGACGAGGTCGCTATTTCTGCCGGGCCGACCCTAAAACTAATGTAGAGAAACCAAAACGGCGAAACCCTCGCGGCCCGTGGATCTGCAACAGCGGGACGCAAGTGTGAAAGTGTACGCCTTGTCGGCACGCCGCGCATGCACTGGTGTGTCGTCGAAAACGCGTTTCGGGCTATGGCGTCCCTAAAATTAGTACATCTAAAAAATTGAGCACCCTAAGCTGGACGAGCACCCGTCTGGCATGCGGTACGAGGCAAAGAATGGATGGCGAGGCGTCGTTTCCTTAAAAAAAAAACCGCCAAACTCGGGTAAAACGGGCGGTTCCAGCGAGTTAGCGGGTTCCAGGGAGGCGCCATGGCGGGCTACTTTATTACCACCTCTACGATAATAATGTGCACTTCGAGTGAGGAGGGAAATGGGGGGGTTGGAGGGGAACGGCCGCATGATGCAGGCACCGATAAAAATTGCGCAAAAACGTTCTCAACCGCGTTCCACACCCTTCGCCCCTAACTGCCACGGCGACAAAGCAAAAAGTTACGTGCCGTTTTCGCACGTAACACGGTGTGCGACTCCGTCATCATTCTGGTCCAGCTGGATTTTTCGCGCGCTGAAAATGAGCCGTCTGAAGGGCTCATTTACCTGGTTACCGCTACGGTCATTCGCCAACGGTAAAAGTTATGGTAACCGTAGGCGTACGCGTTTCCATTTCTTCATGGGAATGAAGCAATGTGATTATGCAAAATTACAAGCGATTCGTATACATTGACGTGTTCATATGCAGTCTTCACCATTTTTTTTACAATATTAGTTCAGCGCGGAGTTCTATACACCACCGCACCGAATTTCACCGAGCGGTGTTCATCGACCCAAGGGGATGAGTTTTGCACCAATTGCCCGCTAACTGCTCCGTGACTGCACGAATCGAAATTAGGGTAACTGCGGGAGATCGCAGGCAGCTCGGAAACAGAGGGCAATTAGAAAAAAACACCGCAAGCAAACCGCAGGGATGCGATATCGCCAAGCTTACCGCCGGCTGTTTCCCAGCGAACACCTGCAGAGTTGGGATGGAAGGGCAAGTGCGAGCAGTCGAGCTCGTTCCGGTGCAACAACAAGTTGATCGGCGCCAGGGCCTTCTATGCCGGGTTCCAGCAGAGCAGCGGCAAGCCCGTGCTGACCAACGACTGGCTCTCGCCGCGAGATGCGGACGGCCATGGCACGTGGTGCGCGGGGGCAGCTGCGGGGAACGCCGTGAAGGTGAAGGGCGGCAGGCAGGTGAGCGGCATGGCGCCCGCAGCGCGCATTGCGGCGTACAAGGTCTTCTGGACGGACGGCAACGGGGACATGTACGCCACGGAGCCAGATATCATCGCAGCCGTCAATCAGAGCGTGGCGGACGGTGTGGATGTGCTGTCGCTGTCTCTGGGCGGCGTGAATCCCGAGGACAACTATTTCAACGATCTCGCTTTCATGCGCGCCAATGCTGCCGGGGTGTTTGTCGCCTTTGCTGCCGGCAACGCCGGGCCTCCCGGTCGTGGAGGGTTCTACTGCACGCTTGACAACTTTGCACCCTTCTATCTCACGGTTGGCGCCAGCACCATTGCCCGAGGCGGCGCCTCCGTCGCCTCCTCAACTGCTGGTGCCACCACCAGCAGCAACGGCACGGATGGCAGCACAGGCGGCAACTTCAATGGCAGCGGCATGGACGCGGACGGTGGGATCACATTCACCACTGCATCCTCGTCCGCCCCGGTGGTGGCTGACTTCTCTTCCCGCGCCCCCCTGCTGCAGCCGTCCGCCACGGCCCAGCCGCCCAAGCCAGGCAACGCCATCCTGAAGCCCGACATCATCGGCCCCGGAGTCGACCTCGTAGCCGCTGCTCCCGGCAACAAACCCGGCAACCCTGGTGCCCTCGCCCGCATGTCGGGCACTTCCATGGCCACCCCGCATTTGGCGGGGCTAGCCGTTTTAATCATCCAGAAGTACCCCAAAGGACTCCGGCGCAAGTGATGTCAGCGCTAATGACGTTGGCGCGGGTGACGGACACGAGCAAGAGCGCCATCAAGAGTGCGACGGGCGGGGAGGCCACCCCGTGGGAGATGGGCGCAGGCCACATGTTCCCCCCGGCCATGCTCGACCCCGGCCTCACCTACGACGCCCGCGACCGCGACTACCAGAACTTCCTGGCCGGGCAGGACCTCAACCGCGCCAAAAAGGAGTTCCCAGGGGTGCCGCTCTCCCCTCTGGCTGTCCACAACCTCAACCTGCCCACCATCACTCTGCCCCGCCTGCAGGGCTCCCTGCAGGTCACCCGCACCGTCACCAACGTGGGGCAGTCCCGGTCCACATACAGTGTATCTGGGAAGCCTCCGCAGGGCGTGAAGGTGACTGTGGGGCCCAGGAGACTCACGCTGGCTCCCGGGGAGAAGGGGAGCTACACAGTGACAGTAACGGTGGATACCCTTAGTAATGACTTCAAGTATGGGTTTCTAGTCTGGGCGGACGACCAGGGCCACAGCGTGCGGTCCCCCCTCGTGGTGCAGCCCATCTCTCGCTGAGGAGGGGAGAGCAGTGTGAGGCTCTTTCACGCTAAGAGGCGGGATGCTGTTTTTGGTATAGCTGTGGGAGTGGGTGCTGCAGTGGATACAGCCCCATGTGATTATTGAGAGAGAAAGTGCCACTACTCGTGGCAAGGGGCATGGCAGGGCGTATTGCAATGGAACAGCATGGTGGGTGCAGCATTAGCGCTCATGTGTGTGTTGAGCTGGTTATGAAATGATGGTGTGGCATTGGTTTTTGTTGTACTGGGTGCTATATATTTGTGATATTGACCATGTGGAAAAATTCGCAGACGTTTTTAACCAGACGAACAGCACACCATTGCTTACATTCCTGACTTAAGCACAGGCGCCCATGGGCTTGCTGGCTGCCCCCCATGGGCTCACTGGGCGCCCATGAGCTCGCTGGGGACCCACGTGCTCGCTGGCTGCCCGCCATGGAGGCTCAAGTGTTCGCTGGGAGCCAGAAGGTGCTGTGCTTGGCAAGGGGCTTGGCAAGGAAGTGCGATGCGGTTGTGGTAGGTGGGATGCGGTCATTGCAGGTGAGACTTGGTTTTGGCGGATTGAAGGATGTGGGCCAGATTGGGGTACGGCGTGGATGGGGGTATGGGGTGGATGGGGGTATGGGGTGGATGGGGGAAGGGGGTGGATGGGGGAATGGGGTGGATGGGGGAATGGGGTGGATGGGGGTATGGGGTGGATGGGGGAATGGGGTGGATGGGGGAATGGGGTGGATGGGGGTATGGGGTGAATGGGGGAATGGGGTGGATGGGAGAATGGGGTGGATGGGGTTATGGGGTAGATGGGGGTATGGGGTGGATGGGATGGGGGTATGGGGTGATGGGGTTATGGGGTGGATGGGGGTATGGGGTGGATGGGGGAATGGGTTGGATGAGGGAATGGGGTGGATGGGGTTATGGGGTAGATGGGGGTATGGGGTGGATGGGGTTATGGGGTGGATGGGGGAATGGGGTGGATGGGGGCATGGGATGGATGGGGGTATGGGGTGGATGGAGGTATGGGGTGGATGGGGGTATGGAGTGGATGGGGGTATGGGATGGATGGGGGAATGGGGTGGATTGGGGTATGGGATGGATGGGGGTATGGGATGGATGGGGGTATGGGCTGGATGGTGGTATGGGGTGGATGGGGTTATGGGGTAGAAGGGGGTATGGGGTGGATGGGGGTATGGGGTGGATGGGGGTATGGGTTGGATGGGGGAATGGGGTGGATGGGGGAATGGGGTGGATGGGGGAATGGGGTGGATGGGGGTATGGGGTGGATGGGGGAATGGGGTGGATGGGGGAATGGGGTGGATGGGGGTATGGGGTGGATGGGGGAATGGGGTGGATGGGGGTATGGGGTGGATGGGGGAATGGGGTGGATGGGGGAATGGGGTGGATGGGGTTATGGGGTAGATGGGGGTATGGGGTGGATGGGATGGGGGTATGGGGTGATGGGGTTATGGGGTGGATGGGGGTATGGGGTGGATGGGGGAATGGGTTGGATGAGGGAATGGGGTGGATGGGGTTATGGGGTAGATGGGGGTATGGGGTGGATGGGGTTATGGGGTGGATGGGGGAATGGGGTGGATGGGGGCATGGGATGGATAGGGGTATGGGGTGGATGGAGGTATGGGGTGGATGGGGGTATGGGGTGGACGGGGGTATGGGATGGATGGGGGAATGGGGTGGATTGGGGTATGGGATGGATGGGGGTATGGGATGGATGGGGGTATGGGCTGGATGGGGGTATGGGATGGATGGGGGTATGGGCTGGATGGGGGTATGGGGTGGATGGGGTTATGGGGTAGATGGGGGTATGGGGTGGATGGGGGTATGGGGTGGATGGGGGTATGGGTTGGATGGGGGTATGGGGTGGATGGGGGAATGGGGTGGATGGGAGCATGGGATGGATGGGGGTATGGGGTGGATTAGGGTATGGGGTGGATGGGGTTATGGGCTGGATGGGATGTGGGTTGGATGGGGGAATGGGGTAGATGGGGTTATGGGGTGGATGGGGGTATAGGATGGATGTCGGTATTTGGCGGATGGGGTTATGGGGTGGATGGGGGTATGGGGTGGATGGAGGTATGGGGTGGATGGGGGTATGGGGTGGATGGGGGTATGGGATGGATGGGGGTATGGGGTGGATGGGGTTATGGGTTGGATGGGATGTGGGTTGGATAGGGAAAGGGGTGGATGGGGTTATATGGTGGATGGGGTTATGGGGTGGATGGAGGTATGGGATGGATGGGGGTATGGGGTGGATTGGGGGTATGGGCTGAATGGGGTTATGGGATGGATTGGGGTATGGGGTGGATGGGGGTATCGGGTGGATGGGGGTATGGGATGTATGGGGGAATGGGGTGGATTGGGGTATGGGATGGATGGGGTTATGGGCTGGATGGGATGTGGGTTGGATGGGGGAATGGGGTGGATTGGGTTATGGGGTGGATGGGGGTATAGGATGGATGTCAGTATTTGGCGGATGGGGTTATGGGGTGGATGGGGGTATGGGGTGGATGGGGGTATGGGGTGGATGGAGGTCTCGTATGGATGGAGGAATGGGGTGGATGTGGGTATGGGATGGATGGGGGAATGGGGTGGATTGGGGTATGGGGTGGATGGGGTTATGGGTTGGATGGGATGTGGGTCGGATGGGGGAATGGGGTGGATGGGGTTATGGGGTGGATGGGGGTATGGGGTTGCCGGAAAAGCCTAAACCCGAAACACTTAGCCCGCTCGCGAGAGACTTCACTGGATCCTACGACGATGCAGTAAACCCACGCCCCTACGACAAAAAGACATACCTGACCATCTACCCCATTGGGTGCAACCCCGACGCCACGCAAGAGGAAGACGGGGTAGAATTGGAGTGCTGCGAAGCAGCAAAGCTTTGACGACAAAACGAAACCCAAGGACGCGGCACCCTTGCTTTTGGCGCATGGGGAGCAGGAAGCAGCTGTCAGGTCGACGTCGTCGTGCGCATCGTCGACAACGTGCTGTAGGAGGTCGGCGGTAGGCAAGCATGGTAGCTCAGCTTCTCGCGAGGCTTGCCAAAGTTGGCACGAGTGGAACGTCGCTCCAGAGGCTTGTCGGATTTTACTTCCACCACATCGCTGTCAGTGGATTGCTCCCCTGCAGACAGCTCCCCTTCATCGTTGTCGGGTTCACCAATGACCTCCACAACATCGCTCGACAAACCATTGTCGATCTGCTCCCCTGTCGGCGGATTCTTTGCAGACGCTTCCTTCGTCAACGGCTCCCCTGTCGGCGATATCTCTTGCGCTCGCTGCTCCCCTGTCGTTGGCGGCTTCTCGCCTTCATCGACGAGCTTGACATCACGTCGACCGCTGGCGATGCCACTGGTTGGCGCCACAGGCAACGTCCGCAGGCTCCCCTCATCGCCGGTGGATGACGAAGGTGTCGGCTCAGGCAAGTCAGCGACAAGAGGTGGTGCAGCACGGATAGGAGGAGGAGGAGAAGGATGGATATCCTGGACATCTACGTCAGTAGCCTCGTCAACCTCGGCAAGCAGTGGGAACGTCGCCGTCGAGGAGTCCGTCGGTGAGTGGGTCTGCGCCCGTGCCGACGCCGACCCATGCGTCACTTTCCACACCTCCAGGGACATAGTCTCGTAGGAGATGGCCTCGACCTTCGCGACTAGCTTGTTGTCAGTCAGGTCGAGCACTTTCCATCCCTTGCTCTATGGTGACACACCCAGGTGTAGCCCCCAACGAGCCTTCGGCGCTAGCTTCCCACCGCGCTGCTGCTCGGGGACCATGAACTGCACCATGCAGCCCCACACCCTCGCCAACGTGAGGTCAGGCTTCTTGCCAGTCATCAGCTGACGGGCATCGTCCCCGGTGGCAGCGCCAACGGCTCCAAGCAGTTGCACACCCAGACGGCCTGCCGCAGGGCGAGGTGCCACCAGTGGTGCTGCGTCCCCATGTGCAGCAGCATCGTCCGCACGGCCTCGACGACCATGTGCGTCTCCCTCTCCGCCATGCCGTTCTGCTGCGGAGTGTACGGTCGTGGACGATGCCTTTGCTGTGAAGTCCTTCCCAAAGAACTTGCCTCCACGGTCAGAGCGGAGCGTCATCACCGACTTCTTGGTTTGCCTCTCCGCGACCAGCAGCCGCTGCTTAAACATTTGCAGGGCGTCGCTTTCTTGGCAATCGGCCTCACCCTCACGTAGCGCGTCTTCCGGTCTTTTAGCGGATGGAAGTAGAAGCTGCCATCCTTGGCGGCCACACGGAACAGTCAGCACAGGTCAATGTGCACGACAGCCGAGGCCTCCTCCGCATTAGAGCCCTTGTTGAGGAAGGCATGTAAGTCTGTCCCGGTCGACGGCTTGATGTCTAGGCCGGTGGTGACTTCGTGCTTCACCGAGCTCTTGATGGTGTCGACGCCAACGTGCGCGAGCCTCACGTGCCACCTGTCCGGCGTTGAATTTATCGCCGATGCGATCGTCGGCAGAGCCACAACCTCGGTCAACGTCGATGACGGCCTCGTCGAGTAGGGCTGAAGGTCGGTGCAGAGGATGCGGCCAGTGTAGCATGCTTGACCAAGCACCTCCCTGGTCGCGATGACGAGAAGCATCTTGTCGCCATCACCCTGTAGCTTCACGCCCATGTCATTCAGCTGGCCTGCCGACAGCAAGTTTGCCTGCACGCCCGGTACGTAGAGTACATCAGGGATGAGGATTCACTTCCTGGCCTCCCATTGCAGAGCGACGGTTCCGGGACCCTCCACAGGCTGCAACGCCCCATCAAATCCGCGCATGTGCTTCACACTGCCACTCAGCGACATGTCGACGAAGACTGCCTTCATCCCCATCAGGTGGTGGGAGCAACCGCTGTTGAGTAGCACCGCCATCGGGTTTGCTTGCACAGCTGCCACCACCGCGTGGAAGTCCTCACTGGCCTCCGTTGCCAGCAAAACGGTCGGCTCCACCATGCCGACCATCGAGCACGAAGCCTCTCCGTCGCCTCGACCTTTGCCGCCGGATGAGTCAACGTCCTTCGTCGACGACGTCTTCTTCGACGCCTCCTTCTCCTTGCGCAACTTATTGTCCCGACTTTGACGACCGTTGGCTGGCCTTCCGTGGCCTCCCTTTTGGTCATCGTCGCCAGAGTCTTCTCGGTCAGGGCAGTCATAGGAGAGGTGGTCGGCGCTTTCGTATACCCAGCACTCGCGCCGTCAACCACCGTTGCCGCAACCACTGTCACGAGTTAATTTCGCCCGGTTGGCGTCCTTCACTGGCCTCCCATCTCCGCTACCACCTCTGCCAAACTTTCCGCACTGCCCCTGCTGACGATTCTGATTCGTCGGTGCAGCGTAATTCGCCTGCGGAAGGAGCTCTGTGGGCTGCTCTGCCTCCTGCAGAGCCTCGTCTTGAATGACGTAGCAGGTGAAAGAGTCCTCGTTGAGGGACTCACGCGTGCCCGGCACCACCGTCATCCACTTCATGGGGTTATAGCTGTGCGGCGGGCCCTTGACGACGTGGGTGGTGTAGGACGCCGTAGAGTATTCGACGCCCGCCATCCGCATTTCAGCCAGGATACGTCAAGCACGGTTGCAGTCGTCCGTCGCCAACTCCTACTCGACCAACCAAAGGTGTGTCATCTGCTCCTCCAGCTGTACGATGTACATGTCATCCGTCACCTGGTACGTCAACAGGATGAAGTGCCACACCTGATAACCAGCTTCTAGTAGCTCTCGACACGACTTTATCGCTATCTGCACCACAGGCGAGCAGCACCTCGAGATGACCATGAAGGTGAGCAGGTGAGCAGCATAAAACTCCCCGCGCAGCTCGATCTCGTCCTCGGGCGGAACTGGCACGGTGCCGTCGGCAAAGCCTTTCAGCCCGGCAACCTCCAGCTTAGATTCCATCGCCTCCCTCCAAGTGATGAGATCATGTCGGCCTTGCAGCAGTGTGGCAGTGATTTTTTCCGGCGTGAACTTGAAGTGACCATACGCCGGTACGATCCCGCCTGCTGTCACGTGCGTCGTCGCCGAGAGCCCTCCACCACTTCATAGAGGAGAGCGACGTTGTCCATCGACGTCGGCACGCGAGCTGCCAGCATTCGTCGTCGACCGCTGACTCCTGTCGACACCACCGTCGAAATTGATCACCCCTCTCTGCTTCGTGCCCTTGCTGCCGCTGAGTCGTGCACCATCGTTGACCTCCTCATCGACGCCACCTTTGTTTTGCATCGGTCAAGGAGGTGTAGGACAGGAACGGTGCTCCGTCGCCCACTGGGCCCGGATGCCCAGCTCGACGATCGCCAAGGGAATCGTCCCGTACTTGCTATCCTCATGGCGTTTCCTCGCATCAGCCAAACATGTCTCCAAGGTGTCTGCTACGCTCGCTTCAACTACGGGGTCGACCATGGCGACTAAAACGGCTGCTGGCCTACAAACGACTTAGTAGGTGCAAAAGTCGGCTCCTATCTAAAGGTCGCGTGTTCGTTCCACGCTCACCGCACCATGCGGAGATCAACTCTACAACGGTGAGAGCTAGACTACGGGGTAGGCACTGGTTGTGGGAGTGATTGTAGCTCGGACTCTGTTCTCTAGCGCTTGTGCATTCACAGGGCAAAACAGCAAGAGTTTCATTGGGAAAGTTGAAAATACAGAGTTCAGAATGAACAAGTAATGACAAAGATTGACTACATCACATGCAAGGTTTGCCATTGCACAGGCAGGTCGACCGCCAGCACGACAAAGTTGTCGACCTGCCTATGTAGCAAGTCCGCGGCCCGCCAACGCAGCTCCTGTACGACTTGCCAATGACAAAGTTTGAAGAAAGAAAGAGGATTGAACTAGCAAGAATGAGGATACAAATAGCAAACCCTAGAAGGGTTGTACTCGCTATAGAGCACCCCACTACAGGCTAGAACATAAGATAATATTCTGACAGCCAACGCTGCAAAATGGCGGCCTTCCAACGCTGCACCCGAGCGACTTGCCAACGCTGCACCCGCACGTTGACCACGTGCTACCACGTCTGTCGACATCGCCACAGCAGCCTCGGCGACTTTCGCGCACCTCAGCAGAACCTCGTCGAGCAAGTAACTCAGTCGACTGGGCAAATTCCCCGTCAACCCTGCAGGTTGATGACCTTCGCTATCGGAGGTCGACGACCTTCGTCGTCGTTAGTCGACGACCTTCGTCGTCGCGGGTCCACGACCTTCGTCGACCACCTCAGTCGACATTCTGAAATTCTAGCTCCTCATTGGTCGAAATTAGGGCACATTCGAATTTCTGGCCAAAATTCGCCTATGCATTCGCGAAGGTGCGCAGGATCAGACGCAAATCTGCGAAGATGAACACCCACGAACCTCTGCACTAGCTGCGCCACTTGCACATGTGCACGAGACGTTTGCATTGCACTCGCGGATGCTTCAGTTACTCTTGCATAGGTTCCCTAGTACACCTTGTGTATAGGCAACCCCACATGTGCAGAAGCTCCAGATCTCGCATACTACACAGGTTTGGTTGCATCTCCCACACATTCGACCACGAAATCTGTTTTGCCTAAGCGAGCGCGGGACCAACCTCCTTCAACAACCCCGACATTTCAGACTTTGCACGTTCGGCCTACATTTCCGATGCCAAGGTTGCCTAGCGTCGCCTTCGGCTTTCCGATCGCCAAACCTGCACCCAACTTCGGTTTCCCGAGGTTCCATCCTAACTAAGGTAGTCACTATATAT